TTGGATTCTATCTCAGGAATAATGAATGAAAAAGAAGAAAAACACACCTACTCTTTCTGCACTGTTGGCTCCGTTGAGTTTATAACCGCTGACACTGAAAATGAAAAGTGGTAGCAGAGTCCCTGGAGGATTAAATTTTCTGTATTTCTGAAGTCTCACACATCTGACAGGAATTTCAAACGCACATTCCAAAGACCGAGAACATCTTGGACCAGGTTAATCTCTAAAGATTATAGCCAGCGAGGTGTTGTGAAACCTAATTATTAAACCTTTTCCATTTTTTGACTCGTCAGACTGCCAAATCCTCCGGCCAACTGTCTTTGTTGTGGTCGGCATAGTGACCTCTTACAACCTTTCAACGGCAGATTTTTTTGAACAAGAACGAAGAAAAGAAGTCTTTATTTTTGTGAACTGACAGATGTGCATTTTAAGGTTGTGCAGCTTCATCTTTAGGAAGTCCTTGAACTGTAAAGAACTTTTTTTTTCATCCTTGAAAAGTGGCGTTCTTAAACTAACAACCTGAGTGTGTTTCTCAGGCTGCACGCTCAAATAATCTAGCATTAAAAAGCTACCTTCAATGTTTTTCTCAAAGACAATCCTGAACATATTTTCTTACAGAGCCTTCCCTAACGTTGGATCGATTTAGGCTCTAAAAGTTGAAGAAATAGTCGAGGAATTATCGTTGAACAAGAGAGCTCTTCAATCACACTAACCCGGGAAATTAAAGACTTGTACATTTTTTTTTATCTCGAGATCTTGCAGGAACTGTAGCTGCCGAGCTCGAGGTGTGCACAGCTGGAGGCAAAATAGACGAGGTTTACGTTTGTCGCTGCTTCTACAAAGTCCTAAGTAAGAGCTCTGAATATTAACGTCAATGAAATATTTCAGATTCACCTGAGAGCCTCCACAAAGGGGCGCACAGGAAGTTTAAGACATGCAGCCTCTTCTCATTTTGCTTTCTTAAAACGAGCGTTACATTTCTTCACTGCCGGGAAATATTAAGAGAAAAGTCTCATCTTTGAGACTCGCTGAGAAAAGGAGCCAAAGGAGCAAACACCGTACACGAGGTGAAATCATTTCTGTTTAGTTTTTTTGTATAACAGTCTCTCAGGAGGATAGTGAACTGTGTGTAAAGTATTTTGATGTTTTGATTTTCTTTGTAAACTTACTTTTTGTTGTCGACAAAGCCCCTGACATGAGGGCAGAACGCCGTCTGTAAAGAAAACCCGGTCAAAAGCGAAGCTGCAAACAAACACTCAGCTTGAGTCTTCAGGCGGCATGGTGCTAAGATGACAATGAGTGCTCTTTTATATGCAAGTGAAATAAAAAAAATAAAAAAATATTTTGGAGAAGAGTTTGTGTGAACGGCATGATCTGTCATGATTATTGAAAAGCACATCTCATGTCACACTTCACCTCCACCACCTCTACTCCTTTTTACTCCACTGTATTTATGTCAGCTAAAGCCACAGCTGATGACATCATCATTACTTTACCTTATAGAGTAAGTGCTTTTAGCTCCACTTTTACCATTTATAACATTCAAACAGCAGGTATTGTAAAGTCGTCAGGATTAGTGACTCTTCTTTAATTCAACAATTAATTTATCCAGAGCGACGAACATCAGAGAGTAAGAACAACAAGCGAGGATCTATAGAGGAGGAGACGACAACAGGAAGTGCTAACAAACATCTTTACGTCTGATTGGACAGGAAGTGACCAGAGGCGGAGCACAACATCAACAGCTGTTCCTGAGACATCTAATCAGCATCAAAAGCATCTTTAACGTCATTATCATTAATGTCGTAGGTGTTCATAAAGAGCTTTTACTTAAAGGTGCAAAGGGACTACAGATTGAATGTATTGTAGTTCATACCACCGGGGGGCGACAGAGGAGAAGAGTGACAGCACCTGTTACTGTATGTCAGGGATATAAGGGGAACAAAGATTACGGCACATAATGTCATCTTTTAAAACATCCAAACCCCTTTTATTTTAACATTAAAGGTCACATATTATTTAAAATACCCTTTAAGTGTTTCTCTAACTCTAACGTGTCTCTAGTCCGTCTACAAACCCCCCAATGCTGAGAAAAGTCCATCCTCTCCATCTTCTGCCTGCTCCACTTTTCAAAAAATGTGTGCTCAAACAGGCTGTTTGGAGATTTTCCCTTCATGACATCACAAAGGGCAGTAGCCCCTCCCCCAGGTGGGTGACACTCCCACAGCTAGGTGTTTGTTCTGTCCTCTGAGTCTGCCTTCTCACAGTAAACATTAGGGCATGGAGCGAGAAAGCCCGAGTCCATCCGAGCCCTTCCAGAGAGGGGGCGTGGTCAGACACAGCTCATTTACATATTTAAAGGTACAGACACCAAAACAGCCTGTTCTGAGCAGGGCTGAAATAGAGGGGTTTATAGACATGATCAAATACAGGATCAGAGTGGATTTAGAACAAGAAACTTCACACACATGTTTTGAGGAGCTCTGAGGTTTATTTACACTGAAGAAGAAGAGGAGGAGAATATGTGACCTTTGAACCAAATGGAAAAAGCTGTTGATCTTTAATCATGTTTTTAATCCAAAGCTCTCAAGAGAAAAAGAGAGAGAGCAGCAGTGGTCTGTATGATTGGATCATGAGTGATAATCACACTGTCTACATTGCACTTATACATTGACAACATTTAGGCCCTGACAGTTGCCAGGATATACAACAATATAACAAAATGACGATGTCACTCCCTGTGGTGAACTATAAATACTGACGATTTAAAACAATAAAACAATAGAGTCAGTATAAACAGATCATTAAAGCCACACAATGCCACACTAATTTACATGTAGCAGTTTATATGATTTTAATTATAGTAAATATGAATCACTGCAATTAAGCTGTAAATATCCTATGAGGCCTTCTACATAGCAGACATGGTGACTTGTCACAGCAGGAGGCACTCAGGCGTTAACGTTTAATCATAAATAATGGCGTTGTTCTGTGAAGCCATGACAGTAGAGGCTGCACATTTGATGAAAGGCTGCTGAAATCGAAGCAGCTAAATAGAATCCTGCCATCTTGATGTGCACATGTGCTTTACCTTAAAGGTTTAACATGATTTGACTTTAAAGCCTCCTGTCTGCAATGTCATATTCCCCTTAGCTTACAGCGGCGTCAACATTTAATGAAGCCCTCACGACTTCTGCCGCCTCAAAACAGCTCACTTATCTGTCTTTGATTTTCATTAAATAGTAGGCTACATTTGCTACACCTGGATGGTTTCAGACAGGATCAGGGGGCGCTGCTTGTCAACAGGCAATTTTGCAAATACAGTGAAAAACCTCCCTCAGGTTCGCATGGAGTGAGAAAGTATGAGACGAGAGGTCTCCAGGCTGCAGTCATACCCAACTCCCCACAGTTGGGCCTCCCCCAGTCTTAAGAGTTTGGACACGCCCCCTGCTGGGTACAGCTCTAGAAGAAGTACAGGGATTTTACAAAGCACCCAAGTGTCTTTGAAGCATCCCGTCCAGCAGAGGATAAACGACCTCTGGTATAAACAGGGGCGATTCTAGAGTCTGTTGGGGCCCTGTAGATAAAAACTAATTGGGGGGACCTCCAAACAGCTGCATCTCCATGATGTCTACCAGTGACCCGACGCTTCCTCCTCTACCTCTTTTTTTCCTGTTTTCTTTTTTCTTATCTATAGACGGATACTTTTCCTTAATTTTTCTTTGTTGACTTTCACTGACAAACTTTTGGTTTTCACAGCGATAGCTGGGCAATGACACTGAGCGCTGTCAGATGGGGCCCCCTTAGGGAGGATAGGTAGGACAGTAGGACCCCTTACACATCTGGGGCCCCGAGCAGTTTCCTGCCTTGCCTGTTGACAAGCAGAGCCTCTGGTTATAAACATGACATGTAAGACTAAGATAAGATAAAATAAGATAATCCTTTATTTATCCCACAACGGGGAAATTTACAGTGTTACAGCAGCAAAGAGCAAAGATTGCAAACAAAAAGTGAACACTACAATTTAAATTTAAAAAAAAAAGAAAAATTAAGAATGTACAAAAAATAGATTTAAAAAAATTAAAAATAGATCAGCTGAGCTACAGTTTTGACAAAAGTGTAGTCCATAATATTCAGTGTAACACAGACATGCACATAAAGTGTAACATGTTATTGCATAAAATGGTTTGATAAACATAATATAACATTAATATAACATTAATTTAACATTATTATTGCATGTCAGAGTGACTTGTCCAGTTGTGTGTGTGTTTTGTGATCTACTGGGAGCAGGCTGTGTTCAACAGTCTGACTGCAGCAGGAAGGAAGGACCTGCGGTATCTCTCCTTCTGACACCGCGGGTGGTGAAGCCTGAAGGAGCTGCCCAGAGCTGTTACAGTTCCATGCAGGGGGTGGGAAACGTTCTCCATTAGGGATGATAGCTTTGCCATCATCCTTCTGTCTCCCACCACCTCAGCAGGGTCCAGGGAGCAGCCCAGGACAGAGCTGGCCTTCTTCACCAGTTTGTTCAGTCTGTTCCTGTCTGCAGCTGTAGTGCTGCTGCTCCAGCAGGACGGCTGATGCCACCACAGAGTCATAAAAAGCTACTCTTACATAAAGTCATTGCATAGGCCGACTAGCCAATTACAGATAGAAAGGGGAGGGTCATCTCTTTACCATTATTCAGCACACTGCTGAATGGTGTGAATCAGAGGAGAGTTGGACGTGGGGTACACCCCGTGGAGACTGAACAATAACTAGATATCCTGCTTCATCCAGCTCTGTTGACATCTCTCTCCCTCAGTAACAAGTCAGCCATCAGTTGACAGTCTCACCTGTTGGCCACACGGCTGTGCTCACACACCGCTCGCCCCCATGGCTTTCGCCTCTCCTCTGCGCATGCGTGTTCGGTCATCCGAGCGGAGACCATTTCCTCCAGCAGCAGCAGCAGCAGCGGCAGCAGCAGGCCTCGTAAAGCTCCGCCACACACACTCTCTCTCTCTCTCTCTCTCTCTCACACACACACACATACACACACACACACTCAGACACAAACACACGCGACAACACTACACACACTTATGCAGCGCGAGGACTCGTCCAAAGCAAAAGCCACGTTTTTTGGGATTGTCTCCTCTTTTCCTCCTCTACACCTGGATGTCCCCTCACCGCACGACTCCTCCTCATGGGCCTTCTTCATCGCTGATCCACAGCAAACATCTGGTCGACAGCACACACGGATCTTGTGGGTGAGTTGCCCTCAGTCTCTTGTTTTTGTCTCGTTGTCGCTGCAACACTGACTCCTGTTAGCTCGGGATATCTCACAGGAGGGGGGGATGTGGTTCTCTTTGGATTATGTTCTCCATGTGTGTCAGATTCTCTTCAAAAAAGCACCTCCAGCTGTTAAAAACAACATTATGATTAACGGGTCTCCCTGCACGGAGCTCATTTTAACCTGTTTCAGAGCGTTAGCATGTGGCTAAGGGCTAGTCAACGCTGCATCCATTATCGGACAAATGTAATGCTCCTTCCCCCCCTTCATTCATAACACACACATCACACGACTACACACACATCACACGACTACACACACATACACACACAACACGCCCGCTGGAACCACATAGAGGTTTTTATTGTGTGTGAACTACAATTATTATCTTGTTAAGGGTCATTTTGCATCTCCGAGTCTCCCACCTTCCCCCCCCTCAACCCCCTTTTTTCCCCCACCTTCCCCTCTCGTCCAGAGAGGTGCTGCTTGTCAACAGGCAACTGTTTGGGGGGCCCTAGACCAGTATGGGGGCCCCCAATTTAAACTAAAGCAGCGGTCCATAATGTGCAAATTTTGCAATGACAATAGGAAACCTTCCCTAAGAGGACCCCCCCCCCCCCCCATCTGATAGCATCTTCTTTCATTGCCCTGCTGGAAGCTGGTTGGAGGCCCCCCAAAACTGATTTTAGCCTTGGGCCCTTACGGACACCCCCTTTTCCTCCACCCTCAGACGCCTCTGTCTCGGCTCTGTGGTTCCGTCCTTCACGTTTCACCCCTCTCTGTTTTCCAAATCCAAACGTGTTTGTTGATCCAGTTCAGTACTTCAGGGAAGAGGAGGAGAAAAGCTGTGAGTCAGTAAAACCAGAAAATGGGAAATACGCAGTTTTAGGATGGAAGTGATGGAGGACCTGAGAGAGAGAGAGAGAGAGAGAGAGAGAGAATCTGTTAGATGATAGTTTGTAAGTATTCTCTTGTTTTGACATTTAATATATGGGGGAGGGGGGGGGGTAAACTGGTGGTCCTGTCTGATAATGGACTCAGGGATTTTAGCCACCTCAGCTCTGCACTACAGCACAGAGCTGGAGGTCAGCCCCCTCAGCCCCCTCACGATGAGGAAACACTGATCCGTATCCGTCCGCTCAGAGCTGCTTAATAGAAATCTTCCTCCATTGTTGAAGTCTTCAACATTTCTCGTGATGTCATGCTAACACGTCGATCGTTTAGAAAGGTGGTCGAGCTGTAAAGGAAACAAAACATCAACGCTGATGTAATGATGCTTTTCAACCCACGGAGAAATGCTGTCCCTTTGCAGCTTCTGCAAAGAGGTCAAAGGTCAGGTCAAGCTGCAGAGCACCAGTGTCTTGTTGAAGAACGCTCAAGAAAGACGCCTGCTAACAAACTGGTTAAAAAAAACTGGAGTTGTTATCATGAATGTTAGTAATGTGATGCTTTTTGTCTCTGCAGCTTCTTTGTTGTTTCCTCACTCTGTAACTGTCTGGACTGAAGTGTTGGATCGTGCATACCTGCACAAGCTGTGGCATGACGGACAAAAGCGGTGTAGTGTTTGTAAAGTGTTTGTGTTTGAGGTGCAGGCTGCTGGCCTTTGTTGCAGACCGTTTCACTCACAATCATCCAGCGGACACTTTTTAATATTTAACTTCTCTGTCTGAGCTTTTACTCTCACATGACGCTGCTCAAAATCTGAAATATAATTCCTACAGATCTTGTTGGTATCATCACCTGGATAGCTGTTTTGGAAATCTCATCATTTTTCCCTCATGTTGAATAACTTGTTTTGATTTCCACTCGTCAATAAAGGAGCAGGATGTAACTCGGACATGTAGCATTTAAAACGGGCAATGCAGTCCAAAAAGCTGTCGTCCCCCCCCCCCCCCTTCTTGTTGCCTTGTGGGTTCTAGGATCGGCCTAATTCAAAACAGAAAAAAAGGAGCACGAGCGCAAAAAGAAAATAGATGATAAACAAAGAGCTGATAAAGCTCTGTGCTGAAACGCGTCCGCTGTTGATCCGTACGCTGCTACCCTAACAAAATATCCCTTTAATTAACCCCCCTATGAATTCACAATGAACAAAAAGTCCCAAACAAACGAAATATACAAAATGATCCACGAGAGTTCAGTTCAAATTGTCTTTTTAGTCCACAGAAGAAGAAAGACTTTCACTTTGCGATTACCGCTTTACTCCACAAACAATGATGTTTGATCATCCAGGACAGAGCAGCACAACACGATGTTTTCATATAGTTTTGAATTTTAGATGATTATTCTTTTAATAACTACAAAACAGAACGACCTTATAGAGAGAGAGAGCTCATAGCGGACGGACGAGCGAGTTTGAGCGAGTGTGTCATGACGCACAGAGAAAGATGAAACAGTTCACCTGTTCTATTCACCTGAGTAAAGTGTGCTCTACACTGCAGACTGGAGTCTTTGTTAACACAATGTTTCTGTCAAAACAGCTTCAACGTGTGATGAGTGCATTGATGTCTGCTCGTCCGCTCGCCACACTCACTGCTCTGATTATAATCAAGTGTTAAAACGCTCAGAACACGTCTGTGTGAAGGTTTATTTGAGGTTTGTTGTCTGTTGAAGTAAGAAATGTCATATTTGAATGTTAATACAAAGGCATTACTAACAATTATTAAAATCCTGAAGAGTCAAATGAATCAGTAGATACAGTTGGCATCGCGTCACAGTTGGGGCGGGGCCTCCTGTGGGGGAAAAGAATCACAGAAAAAAAAGAACTACAGAACGATTACTCGAGTACTCGCTTTAACAAGAGTCATCGATTAGAGAAAAATTAGCATTTCTGCACCCCTAGTTAGCAGTATTGAGGGGTTTGTGGAGGTGTGAGGTCTTTGCAGCATGTAGGAGTCCACAGGCTGTCTATCAGGGCTAGGAGTGGGAATCTACAGTAATGTAAATACTCGAAGTTCTTGTATAATCTTGTGATGTGTTTTCTGCAGTGGTGTGTCCCAGCTCTGAATGAGAAGTGATGGTAACATAAGACTCTGTGAAGAGAGCAGTCCATGCTGCCTCTTCTTCTCAGCTCATGAAGCGGTTGTTTGTCGCGATGGAGTCTTGTTCTCCAGATCGACAAACTCCACCAGCTTGTTGAAACTTTCTCCTTCCACAATCGTTAACGGGAGCACATCTCCAATCACCGTTATACAGCCAATCTGCTTCCCTTTGTTACCATAACAACAACGTGTGCTAACAGGGTTAGCATGTTTCTGTCTCCTTGTGCTTAAAGCTCTTGTGGTTAAACAGCGACCTAATATTTCTATGATTCGCTTATATTATATATTAATATAATATAATCACTGCACATCATCTTTTGTTTTATTTGTCCTCTCGTCTTTTTGGGTAAATGTGTCCTTAGAGGGTTACCGTAGCTGCAGTAACGCCGTTTTTGTTGCTCTACGTTGAAAGAAGCTGAAGAAGTTAAACCTCTCTGTGTCCTGTTAGCTATATTTAGTTAACCTTAGAAAGCTCAGTTACACATGCAGCTCTAAGTTGAACTATTTCAGCCTACAACAACGTGTGAGTCCTAATACTATTTAAAAAACGAGTATTTGAGAGGGTGTGTGTTTTATTTGTATTTTCATGATTTTGTCTCTCGTGCAGAAAGTCTTTTTCTTTGTGACAGAATGTTAATGTTCTGAGACCTCGTGTGACTCAGCTCTGAGTAGTTAGTCAGACTGAACAGATCTCCATCTGTGAGGTCACATCCATCTCGTAGGATGGCAGGAGGCGTGCAGATTAACTCATTAAGTTCTTCCGTTTCCCAGATTCCCTTTGTCGATAGAGCTCCCTCCTCTTTTCACCAGCTGACCGACGGTGACGGCCCAGATCGGAGGAGTCTAATGAAGCTGCAGCTTGACAAGGACTTGAGGTGACAGGACACGTCTGTTAGCCCGGCCAACGTCAGCGCTCCTCTTTCTGTAATGACTTATGAGAAGGGGGGGTGGCAGTCCGGTCGATTCCTCAAAGCTGGAGGAAGCTGAGCTGTGTTTCTGTCTTTAACTTAAACCCTGAGCTGGGTTTATGTGCTCAGCAGGGGAGGAATGGCTCCCCTGTCAGTACACTGACCATCTCATTGCACATTTGAAGCCCGTCCAAGGCCCCGTTGACCTCAACACAATGACCGCGTTTAGTTCGTTTTTTCCCCCCCTCCAGCCCTCCGCTCTTCGGCGTCCACTGTCTCTTTAATCGGCGAGTGCAACGACAGAGGAGGGATTTATTGTGGTGCAGAGCTTAGCCGTATACTGGCACTCGTGAGCAACAGGCCGTCACAGATGGTGCATGACATGCTCTGCACTGTCGGCTCTGTCGCTCTGCATCGATGCGTCCAGCAGCATTTACTTTATTGCATTTGTTAGGCCCGGTATTAGTGCAGAACCATATGGTGACCACTCACATCCCAATATGTTTTCTTTCTACGATCTATATTGCAATTTAAAAAATGTGTATCTTCTAATGAACAACAACTCAGATTTAAATCAAGCAACCTCACTTTTTATTTTTGGGCTCTTAAAGTCATGCAGGTGTAACGCAGACGATGCAGGATGCAAAGTGGCGGTCAGAGCCACGGCTCTATTTTAGAAGTGAAACCGATAAGACGTCTCCACGACATCTGCACTACTTCCTCTTCTGAACGTGCACCCAGCAGGTGTAGAGAGTAAGAGTCCGGTCAGGTGTACAGATGTGAGCTACAGTTTCTGTAACTCTTGGCTGATAAAGTGATCGAGGCCTCCTCTGTGTTTAGATGTTTTTTTTCTACCGGACAACTTCCTGTTTGGCCGGTCTGCACCGCCCTGTTTCCAGTTGACACACTTACAATTGGATTATCGCGATTAGTTTTGAAGCCATGTACAATACATGCTGTTTTCTGGTTGGATTGCAGACAGTGGTTAATTGATTTTTCAATTAAGCACCCAACTGGTGTCTAAATTAATC